ATATACCTAAATTAATATGTAATAATAATAGTAAATAATACAATTGTTTACTTTGAAAATAATTATTCTTAAACGTTTTGATATATAAGAAATTAAAAACTTAAATTCAATAACAAATGTATAATAATTTTATAATTAAAACGAAATAAGTTGATTGAACTCGAGAGAATATTCTACCAATTAGCGTTAATTAAAATTCTAAGCAATGAAGTTATTGGTTTGATCCGTCGACGGTGAATGATCCCATCATCAATCTCGAATTTTCCCATGATAGTTATTTTTTTATATTATACCTTTTATAATTTCTGTCCACATCGATTTACTATCATTGAAATTATTTTTATTAATACAAATTACTGAAATGTTACTTATGGCTTACTGAAATGTATATAGAGTATATTATTAAAGTTATCATCTTGCCCTACACCATGAGCATTACAATTTGGTTACTTATTACTTATTACTAAAGCATAGTTTATGCCCCGTTAGTAAAGGTGTCTCTAGTCGTGTTCTCCAATTTCTCTCCCTTTCATTTGCAATCCTTTGAAATTAAGTTACTAAGTATCTCAAACTTATTTGTAGGAGCAAGAATTCAAATAAAATGAATATCTGGAGAAAAGAAATATAAGCGTTTTATATTGATTTGGTAATAACATACTTCAACAATTTAGCATAGCAAATGATTCAACTTATCCCAACTAACCTAACTTTATATAGAATATTTGTTTAGATCAGACTTTTTTATATCAAATAAAGAATTATTAGAAAATTAGAACTATTATTATATTAGAACTGGGACTTTATGTAGAAATTTATGTTAACTATTTACCTACATAAAGTTCTTTTTATATTAAATTTTAAAAAATGACCTAATTTCTAATTGTTTTGCTTTTCGCTATTTTAGATTAGTCTATTTCTGCTACTATGGCTAAACAACGTTACCAGGAGACGAGCGACCTCCAACCTGGAAATTTTGCCGAACCCCCATTTTATCGTGGGGTTGAAATCTTTTACTTGCCTATACTTCGCGGTCGAAATTATAGAGTGACTCGGACATAATATAAAAACACTATTACCATAAAGCGTATAAAATAATTTTTATAACGATTCAATATTATTTGTCTTGTATTAAATGTGCCGCTCTCTACGCATGATAGAATCTATAATCGTCCATAGACCGAGTTAAACTGAATCTATATTCTATCTCTGTCTTTTGCACTTGGTAGGGAATAGAGAAATGCTTTTTTAATGGGTGTAAAAAAACACAACCAGGACATTTTAAAAAGTTGTAATAATTAAAATGGATCAAAATGCCGGTTGTAGCAAATGATTAAATTTTCCATATTTTCTATATCTTGTTGCCTTTTATGCAGACACGCCAATGGATTTTCATTCCCCGCATGTTTCATCCTTCTTACTAGTCCAAAAGCTAGTGATGAGTCACTCTATAATTTCGATCCTGGAATATAGCATTGTTTGGACAAAGAACCAACGGTTTTACATCCTTTCCAAGGGATAGTATATCTTCTTATAGAAACCTCATTTAAATTTGGATAGCTTCTGTGAATTCACCGACATACAGGATACAGGCCACTAGAAAGGGGATGAGCATCATAAGCCTTCCCCGGATAGTCAGTCGTTAGATTGCACTCATATTTATAATTTCGAATACTAATAATCTCTATAAGAATTCTAATTTTCTAATAATTTTTTCTTAAAATTAGCTTTTTTTTATTTATTATATTTAACCCAATCTAATTTTCTTATTTTGCTTGTCTACACATAAATTTAGATCAGGTTTCTTTAATTAAATTTAAAAAAACTTAATTTCTACACTAATAATTCTAATTTTCTGATAATTGTTACTACATAAACCCAAGTCAAGTTTCGTATTACAGCGAATTTGGGCGACTTGCACTCGCTGTGTACATCAATTCACAAAAAATCGATAAGCCCATGGCAATAATCAAAATTATTGCATGATTTAAAATAAAATATCTTACAAACGACTACTTATTATTCTATTTATTATTTATTAAATTAAGTACATGTCACAATAATTTTCACCTATTTTTTTACTCTGCAAATGATCTTTTATAAAAACAAATATTGTCATTATTTGTTATTTATAGGTATGTCACATGATCAAACGAATATAAATCTCATATATCCATGTGCAGATTTTTGTCAATCAAATATAAGGATAATTATTAGCTTTGAGGATACATTGGTCGAACACAACACTGTGGCACTTTGCATTTGGTGTATACTAAAGCAATAACCCGAATTCACTATTATTAATATTATATTAAATAAATATATTTTCCCTTTAAATTTCTGGAAATGCCTATATTTCCCAGGAATTATTAGATCTCTAATTACATGATTTTTAAATTATACTGAGCGAGTCAGTTTTTTGTAGACAAACTTTAACAGGATATAGAACACATGTTTTTAAAAAGAAAAGTTCCTATAAACATATGTCCTAGAAGCCTTCGTTTTCGAGATACAGAGTGTTGAATATAATTTTTTTTTTCTTGAATTTTCATTATCTTATAAATGAATGCTTAGATTTTTTTCATGTTTGGGGGATAATGCCTATTAATTAAGGGGAATAAAACAAGCGATAAGAATGTTCAAAAACTTGCACAGTGACGGAGTGTAGGGGATGCTCAACCCCTTTCTTAAACAGAACTTCTACGTCAATGACTATTTTTAAAAAAAACTGTTATTTTCATTATCTACATACAGTTTAACAAAAATAATGTCCCTTCTTCTGTTTCGAAATTCCTGTGCGTTTCCGAGTTATTTTAATTTTTAGTAGTTGCTGTGGTACTAAATGAATTTATTTATTATCAATTATCGGCTAAATATTTAATTCTTTCATATGAAACCTACCTAAATATGGTTTGTTAAGGATTCTAAAAAACCGAAATCTCTTATTCTTTATCTCTTTCCAATGTAGTCAAAATAAATATTTGTAATTTCAAGCCATACTCAAATACAAGACTTTTATAAGTTGAAATCTGTTTAGTACACTAATTTTAACAATCCTTATTTATTATGTGCTGTGTAAATACTAATTACAAAAAAAAAAAACATTGAATGAACCAAGGACCATATGTACAGTTTCGTTTACTGTACTACCACTATGATGGCATAAAACTTGATTTACATATATTCAAACAAGCTTTATGAAGTGGACTGTATATTTATATAATTAAAAATGTAAATCTTTAACAAAGATGTGTACGAAGGCCTGTTGAGGCAACATGTCTCATGACATTACATTGATGTTAACGTTTATGGAGAAATTTTTTGAATTTATAACAATACTTAATTAACTTCTTAAAACTTTTTGGCAATATAATGTATTATATGTATGTAATGTAACAGATTTCAACTTATAAAAGTCTTGTATTTGAGTATACCTTGATGTAACAAATATTTATTTTGACTACATTGGAAAGAGATAAAGTATAAGAGATTTTGGCTTTTTAGAATCATTAACAAACCATATTTAGTTAGGTTTCGTTGAAAGAATTAAATATTTAGCCTATAATTGATAATAAATAAATTACTTAATGTAGTACCACATCAAACACTAAAAATCAAAATAACTCAGAAACGAACAGGAATTTCGAAACAGAAGGGACATTATTTTTGTTAAACTGTATGTAATGAAAATAACAGTTTTTTATTAAAATAGTCATTGGCATAGAAGTTCTGTTTAAGAAAGGGGTTGAGCACCCCTCCACTCTGCCACTGTGCAAGTTTTTGCACATTCTTATCGCTTGTTTTATGCCCCTTAATTAATAGGCATTATCTCCCAAACATGAAAAAAATCTAAGCATTCCTTTATAAGTTATAATGAAAATTCAAGAAAAAAAATTATATTCAACACCCTGTATCTCGGAAACGAAGCCTTCTGCGACATATGTTCATAGGAAGGACCTTTTCCTTTTTAAAAACATGTGTTCAATCTCCTGATAGTTTGTCTACAAAAAACTGACTCACCCTGTACATATACTAAAAATTGATTAAATAACTATATTTTTCCTTTAAATTTCTAGAAATACCCGTTTTCCAGGAATTATTAATTTCAATTACATGAGTTTTAAATTCTATATGCCTGTAGTGTTATAGTGATAATTCAGGTGTTGAGTGCAGAGTAGGTACATGTCGAGGTACATATTATCGTTTTGATTTTTTCGCAAAATTAAATTAGATCCCACAAAAATAACTTCAGATACATGTTCGACGCCTTGAAAATAGGAGAGAATGCAATTCTCGGTTGGACTATAGCTCTTGGGTACCTGGCATATCTCCGTCAAAAATGAATATAAAAATCTGAAATTTTAGGGGTGTACTCTAGATGGGGAGACCTAAGAGCGCACGTAATTTCAACTCACCCCTTCCACCCTAGGGGGTGCGGAGGGGGTGAGGGGTGGTTTTTTTTAGACGTACACTATTTATTTTGCGATTTTCGGATTCTACACGTAAAACTACCCCCGGACACGCGTTCTTGCGGGTTCGTCTAAAAACCACCCCTCACCCCCTCCGCACCTGCTAGGGTGGAAGAGGCGAGTTGAAATTATGTTCGCTCCTAGGCCTCCCCGAGACCTCAAATTTCAAATTTGTATATTCATTTTTGACGGAAATTTACCCAGGTACCCAAGAACTATAGTCATCAAAAAAACGACAAAGTCCATACGAGGTGGATTTTGGTTTTTTTGCTAATTCGCCAATAATGCATTTCCGGGGGTAGTTTTACGCGTAGAATCCGAAAATCGCAAAATAAGGGTAAGTCCCAAAAAAACCACCCCTCACCCCCTCTGCACCCCCTAGGGTGGAAGGGGTGAGTTGAAATTACGTGCGCTCTTAGGTTTCCCCATCTAGAGTACACCCCTAAAATTTCAGATTTTTATATTCATTTTTGACGGAGATATGCCAGGTACCCAAGAGCTATAGTCCAACCGAAAAATTAAATATTTACTTACTGTTTATCAATTCCGTTTCCTGTTTTTCTTTTTCCCATTTTTTACGTCTTTTAATTTTTCTACTTTTATTTTCATTAAAGAATGAATTATACTTTTCCACTTCACCTTTTTCTACGAAACTTTGTACAATCTTAATGATTCTTTCTTCGCTATCACAATTACTAAAAGGTACCATTTCAAGAATTCCATCCATGTTACCTCTCGTAGAAATATATGCCTTTTTAATGTCTTTTAATTCAATCTCAGATCCAATGTATTCTTTTTCATAATTTTCTATATCTTTGATATCAATCTTTTTAAACATAGATCGCCAGTAATCCACCCAATTAAATGATGCATCAATTTCTTCATCAAATTCACCAAAATCGTCATACAATTTACGTTTTGTATCATCTTGAAGAATCGAATGAATTTTTCCAAGTACTTGAAATTTTTCAGTTGCCACCTTCTTCTGATCTTCTTCAACACGATCAGGGTGGACACACAGTGATAGTTTATGATAAGCTTTTTTTACTAGAAAATATAATTACGTACTAGAAAATTAAGTTTTAATTTTATAAATAAATTAGGTATATTTAAATATATCCTATTACCTACTCATGGTACTTACTTTCTTTATCAGATGCAGTAGGACTTACTTTCAAAATTTCATAAAAATTAGTGCTACCAAAAAACTTTGTGCAAACTATTTTAAATTCCGACATTTTTGAAATATAAACTACAACGGTCGATAGTAAAAAACAAGTAAATAACACTTATAATTTTTTTTCACTTACACCACAGAATAAGGTTATACCCATGGTGTGTTATCTTTTATGGACACAGTTGTACTCTTATTGATAGTTGGAGAACTTCTCACAGAGGACGCTCCCATCTAAAATTATGTCATCTAGCCATCTCATTCTAACCACATCTTGTCATTTATAAGCGTTCTGTGGTTACCTCCAATGTTGTTCGTGGTTTTTCATGTTTGAGTTTGACATTTTATACCTTGTGTGTGTTCATATACATACTATAATAAGTATATGTGTGTGTTAGTTGTGATTTATTAGTGTTTTGATAATTGTTGATAATATATAAACTTGAACTGTAATAGTCAGTTTTAGTGCTCTGCTGTTTTTAACAGGTAAGATATTTATGCTGCAAAATTTTCAAATTTCATATGCACACCTAGTTTAGACAAGGTAAAATGTAGAAAATATATGTAAAATTGTAATTTAAAATTTCTAATGTTATGCTTTGTGTTGATTAATAATTATAAGCTTTTCTTTTGACTATTAACTACCCTAAATACTGAAAGGAATAAAGAATAAGTACTCTATTTTGAATTCATTAAACGTAACTCTATTTTATGCATTATAAACAGTTAATTGTCTTAAATTAATACCAGAGATTAAAATAAATATATACATTTAGGCGTTTTCTATACAAGATATCCATACATTTTGATAGTAAACTTTTATATAAAATTCGATAATGGTACAATTTTTATTGGGTTATACCTGCTACAGTATGTAAGGACACTCAGTCTACTAGGCATCGATTTCCTAATCCGAAAAAGGAAATGGGAAGGTTCCAGAAATGGGTAGAAGCTTGTGGCAATACAGCTTTAACAACCTTAGCACCCGATCTTATATATCGATCATATAGGTTATGTGACATTCACTTCAGAGGATAAATCCACAAATATGTATCTTCAAGAAGGAAGTAAGGTAGTCCCTATGCTACACTTATCTTTTCCTGCACCACCAACTATTAATAGTTTAGGAGTTGACATACCAACATCCACCATTACCCATGGTAAACAATTTAAAATTGTAATATCGCCATTATTCCATGGCTAGAAATTGGCCTCAATGATTTGGGATCGAGGGGGATTATCCCTCTTTATCCTGCCTCATCTCGTGTAGGCCTGGACAGCCTTCGTAGGTGGGCCCCATCCGTCGTCTACCCCGACCGCAAATGCGGCCGGTGTAGGCGCTTTGTGGGACCTCCTTTTGTCCTGGCTGGGCCCCGCCGGCTAGGGCCCTTTCTTCTGGCGCTCTTCTTGCTTCGCCGGCTCGTCTGTGTAAACCCCGGGGGTAGTGTCATGTTTATGTGTGGTATGGTTGGGTAGGGTAGTGCGGCTATGCAGCCTGGGATGCGCTTTGCTAAGGTGGCCCTTAGGCTAGCGCGGGAGGGGAGGGTTAAGGAGGGTATGGGGGGTGTGTATGTGTGTGTGTGTGTCGTTGTCTTCGTTTCTTGATCCTGGCTGTCTCTGAAACAGAAAAGGTTAGCGGGCAGGGGGGGGGTCATTGGGGTGGTCACCCAGGGTCAAAAAGTTGGTGTCTAGGTCTTTTGTGTTTGTCGGTCACGTCGGGTACGTAGTCAACGGCTTGCCTGAGGAGGGGATTGTCATGTCTAGCGGCTACGTCAAATCGTTTCTCCGCGTTTTGTCTTATTGTCTGTGTAGCGTTTGTGTATTGTAAGTCTCGTAATATGTCAGTGTTTCTTACGTACCAGGGCGCGTCGGTGGCCGTGCGGAGGGCTATGTTTTCCACAGCCTGTAATGACTTTAAGTGGCTTTTTGCCGCGTGACCCCACGCCGTGGAGGCGTAGGTTAGCTGCGGTTGAAGTACCACCTTGATAAGCGTTCGCTTATTCCTTAAACTGAGGGTGTTTCCACCTTTGAGTAAGGGATAGAGCCTAGCCCTGGTGGTCTTCGCTCGCGCCACCGTCTCCACGATGTGCGGTTTCCACGTGAGACGCTGGTCCATCGTCACGCCCAGGTATCGTGTTTGTCGATTCCAGGAGATGGGTTCCTGGGATAGTGTCAGTCTGTCGAGGTTTTGTGGGATTTTTCGTTTGGTAAAAAGGATAGCCGAACTTTTGTTGGGATTAATTTTGACTTTCCACCTGTTGCACCAGGTTTCAAGTTGGTCTAAGGAGTTTTGGAGGAGGGAGACGGAATATCTAGGATCTACGGATTGGGATGTGATTGTCAGGTCGTCGGCGTATAAGTATATGTTGGTGTTGGGGGGATGTGGGATGTCGGAGTTGTAAATGGTGTATAGGTGTGGGGACAGGACGGTGCCCTGGGGGACACCGGCCTCCATGGGACGGGTGGTGGAAAGGGAATCTTGGATTTGGATGCGGAATTTTCGGTGGTGTAGGTAGGATTTTATGAGTTTGGTAAAGGATATGGGATATTGGTTGGTGAGCATTTTCATCAGTAGGCCTTCATGCCAAACCGTATCGAAGGCCTTTGCGACGTCCAGGAAGACAGCACCAGTGTACTGTCCCCTGTTGAAGGCCGCCGTGATGTGCTCGGTAAGGCGAAGGATTTGGAGTTCAGTGGAGTGATTGGGTCGGAAGGCGAACTGCTCGTCTGGAATGACTTGCAGTTCTTGGGAGTGGGTTCTTAGACGGGTTAGGATAATTTTTTCTACCACTTTGCTCATAGCCGGGAGCAGGCTAATGGGCCGGTAGTTGGATGGGATGGTGTGATCTTTGTTGGGTTTTGGGATAAGGATTATGTTTGCTGTTTTCCAGCGGGTAGGGAAGTGTCTTAGTCTGAGTGTCGCGTTTGTTATGTTTAGTAGGGCCATGAGGCCCTTGTGTGGTAGTCGTTTAAGTGTCGTGTTATGTATATTGTCGGGTCCGGGGGCTTTTCTGTTTTTAAGTCTGCGTATTGTCAGTCTTAGTTCGTCAGGTGTTGCGGGGGGGATTATGTCATTGTCTGGCTCTCTGTCGACGCGTCGGGCCGCGCGCTCAGCCACTATCTCGAATTCCTCGTCTTCGTCGGGCAGCTGAGGCAGTCTACACTGCAGTTCCAGGCTATCGGCGAAAGCCTCGGCCTTTTCCTGGTTCGTGTAAACCACCCCCACACTACCGTGGATTGGAGGAATTTTACGGCGAGCGGTCTGTCGCAGGGCCCTCTGCGTTTTCCAGAGGCTGTTGTCTTGTGGATCCAGCGACTCCAGGTGCCTAGCCCAGTTATCCTGGGCCAGTTCATCCAGAGCCGCCTTCACCCGTCTGTTAAGTACGTTTAAGTCATGTCTGTGTCGGGGGAGGCGGGTGCGGGTGGCAAGCCGTTTCGCACGTCGTCTGTCACGTATTAAGTTTTTTATGTCATCGGGGAGGGTGCCCCGGGGGTTTGTCAGTCGGGGGACAATAGTCTCCGTCGTAGTCTGAGTCAGGGCGTTTTTAATGTCAGTCTCAAGGGAGAGGATTGCCGCCTCCAGATCATGGGTGGTTTCGATGACTGGGAGCGCCATGTTTCCTTGCATTACTGTTCGGAAACGCTCCCAGTCAGTGAACCTCCTCGTGAAGGTGCCTTCATATCTCTGTCTTCGCCCCAGATCCAGAAATATTGGATTGTGGGCGGAAGACCCTTCGTATTGGGTGGATATTTGGGCATTTAACGGTATAGATTTTAAGAGGGCAATGTCGATAACGTCGGGGCGTCCTACGGGTCCGTAATGTGTCGGTTCTGTCGGTCCGAGTATAGTCAAGTCGTCGTGTCTGTCTTGGTAATTCAGCAGGACGCGACCTCTTGTGGTCGTCGTCCCGCTGTGCCATATGGGGGACTTCGCGTTGAAGTCCCCGATGGCAATTGTCTGGGGCCAGGAAAGGATTTTGTCTAAGTCATTGTCAAGTAGTGGTAGTCTGGGTGGGTGGTAACAGGACACCACCGCAACGTCTCCATGCCGTAGCGATCTCACCGCTATCGCCACGGCCTCTGTGTTTTGAGTTTGGAGCCGCTGCAGCGGATAGTGGTCGATGCACTTCTTTACTATGAGTGCAACACCACCCCCGTTACGGTTTCTGTCATGTCTGTATATGTCATAGTCAGGGATGGAGGTACGGGATGCCTCGCTGAGGTAGGTCTCCTGGACAGCCATAACGTCTATGTTTAGACGGTTCAAGATGTCCACGAGTTCCGTTTTTTTGGCCCGGAACCCGTCAAGGTTCCAGGACGAAATTCTCAGCGAGGAGGGTTGGGAGGGCCGACGAGCCATTAGAAGTCGAATAATTTTTGCATATTCGACACCATGGTCGTCAGCTGGACGCAGAAGTCCTGAAGACGCTTTGTTGCGTCAATCAGGGCCGCCGCGCCCGGTTGGGAGGGTGTCGTGTCTGTGTGTGCGTGTGGTGAGGTGTTGTGTTTTTGTTTTTGTGTGTTTTGTGTTTTTCTGGTCATGTCAGCGTATGTGCGTCCTGGGGTTGTGTTTGGGGTGGGTAGGAGGGGCTGTCTGTGTGTTTGTGTAGTGTTTTGTGTCGTGTGTGTGTCTGTGTTTTGTGTTTTTGTGTTTTTAGCTTTGGGGTACTGAGGGCACCCCATATAGCTGGCGGGGTGTGGCCCGGCGCAATTTGCACACCTGGCGGGCGTGTCTTTGGCCTTTTTGCATACGTGCGTGCTGTGGTTTTCGCCACATTTTACGCACTTTGGCTCAGCTGTGCACCGGGTCTGGCCGTGGCCGAACCGCTGGCACCGGTGGCACTGTGTGGCAACCCGCTGCTTTCGCTGCAGCTCTACTCGAACCACGAGCGAGCAGCAGCGGGTTACCTTCAGGATGTCCTCCTGGTCCTGTGGGGCCTGAACTAGGACCAGGGGCATTTCCTGTTTATTTTGACGGCTCGCCATGCGGTGCACTATTGCGCCGGGGAACCCTTGTCTTGCGAGGTCGAGTTGGACCTCACTTGGCGAAACACCCGCAGGTATTCCGCGTATCACCACCCTCAGCGTTTTTTCTTCGCTGAGGGTGAAGGTGTGGTACTCCTCGCCTTTGTCTGTCAGTGTCTTTGTCAATAGTCTGTGGTCATTAGGTGTGTTTGGG